CAAGACAGCAGTAACTAATTCCTCAGAACAGTGGATTCGGCTCGAGGGGTCTTCGCCAAATAATTTTCAAGGGACAAGACACTGCAGGAGGGGTCCACTGCTTGTACTTCGATCATTCGACATTCAACATGGTTAAATGGAATATAGCATGGAATATAGCCGTGTACGAGACTCTGTGTGTGGTGTCCCCCGAGCACCGTATCCGTTAGCAGCGAATGGAGTTTGTCAACTTTGATCTAACATACATCTTGGTCTGACGACGCTCGAGAACACATAGCAAACTGGTGGATATGAGGAGAGAGATTTCAGGGAGATGAAGAGACCATAGACGCAGGACCCGTATCATCTCATCATAAGTCGTGCAGCCAACGTACAACTTCCATCGCCACCAGCGTCTACCCCGGATTGCAATTATTTCTAATTAATTGGACAAAGGAGGGGTAGACGAGCTACTCCGGTTCTTGCGAAGAGCAAATGTTCCGGGTGGAATAAGCTCCTTCGCTTGGGGAGTGAGGGAATGGGGTTGTACAACGTTTGCTTTGAACATTTTCGAGGGTTCGGGTGGCTAATAAGAGCTGGGATTGCCAGGGCTGTCCTCCGTCCTGCATCCCTCATGTGAAACAAGCTGTGGAATTATCAGCCTCACGAAGGGCATTGATTGGATGTCTCCCCATTCGTTGTAACGAATTTTCGAGTGAGATTGAAGGGCAGCAGTTATATCTTTCGAGTTATGCGGTGGGGCTACTCGAGTGTCTGCCAATAGCCGAGTGCCTTGCCACTATCCTCCTGACCGAGGAGATTCCCTCAAACATCTTCTGCGGAATTCCAGAAGAGGTACACTTGATCCATCCTGGAGAGGCAACTGCTGCCAGGACGACTCTCGTTGAAGAAAAGAAAGTAAAAAAGTTATTTACTAGCCGTTAGAAGTGGGGTCTTTCATCCTGGGATAGTGCTATGTGAGAGTCTTCGCTTACTCCCTTCTAACGTATAAAACGTCTACCGTCATGCTGCGCTACCCAGCATTTCTCGGTAAATATTTGCTGTAAGATTGGTAGGGGGAGGCTGTTGGAGAATAGTGGAAGTAAAGGGGTGCTAGATGGTACAGTTGGTACGGACAAACAGAACCGAATATATGTGCACGTGAGGGGAAAATAAACTCGAGGACATCATCGTAGAAGATGAACGGAAAAAATTGTCTGGCGGAGTTGGCAATTTTCAACAGTTCCTACTTTCCTCGGATGATTCATCCAACAATGATTGGATCGATTTTCTTTCTTCAGAATTGCTGTCTTCAAAGTTGCAGAGTAAAAGGGAGAAGGATCGTTAGTTAGCCTCGTCCATGACTTTCCCGTCAAAAGTTAATCGACCTTTGTTCCTTCTTTCTTGCCACCAAGTTTCGTTTCCATCTCTTTCACAGTTCGCCGGTAACGAGTGGCCATTAATTCTGGGGGGGAAAAGGAAGAATCTCAAATGCGAGACGAGCCATTGTCCCCTCTATCTCCTCCGCCCCCTTCTATCTCATTCACTCGTCCTGTTCCATTGTCTCCTCTTTTCTCTAGTCTATACGATTCGACGTCTTTGGTTCTCCTTCGGGGGAATAGAAGTAGAACGAATACTATCGGACCACTGGTTAGTTTTTAGACGTCGAGCTTGGTGCGCCTGACCTCTCGACACCTTCGGGCTGGAAAAAAAGAAAGTTGTGAAAAAAAGAGTCAAAAATAAAAGTTAGCGAGGGATATCCCATTGTAATTTCGTCGAACTCTCTCGGCACTCATTCCTCAACTTCTTATACTTTTTATTTGGTACCAAACTCGGCACCGCCGTGGCATCCCCTAACGAGCACTCTGCGCTTCCTTAATCCCAGTGACCATAAAAATCCTCGGGGAAAGTGAAGTGGCGGAATGGAGGAGAAAAAATATGAATGAAGAAAAAAAATCTATGAAGACGTCACTTTGCCTGATTTCTCCAGCAGACAAGTGCAGTCACGGCTCTCGCATTTCCCGGGAATTTAATAATCTCGTTGCATTACAGTGACAAGGGTACCGATAATAATCCAGAAAATGTCGCAAGTACGAAGGGAAACGGTAATACGAACGAATGAAAAAAAAACTGCCAGACGATAATAAACGTGACAATGCTCAGTCATAAAAATTCAAACGGGGCACAATCATCAGGGAAAATGGTAGTCCTGGGGTCAGACATTTGCGTACCCATCTCTGCAGAGTGTACCGAGGCAAGCCCACCCGCTGCTCAAGACGAGATTGCGTTTGCGTTTATACAGGCTCGATCTTAAACTCTGGTTTTACGTCCATGCAAATTTTTACGTCTCTTCGTACACTTTTTTCCCCCCCTCCGCCCTCTCATCCCGTTAACATTCAGCATCGTATGAGGAAAAGGTGGAATACCAAGACAGAAAAAGAGGGAAATGAGCAGAAGCGCTAAGAAAGGAAATGAAACAAGAGGAGATCAACCGAATGAGAAAATGTTGAACAAAGAGGACGAGAGGTTCCTCTCGCACACGTGTGCCGAGCGTTTTGCATTCGGGTCACGCGTTTCTTTCTGCGACTTTCTCAGTGACGCTTTCGCGGTACCGATGACAGATTTTCACGGAGCTTTTCGGGCAGAGGGATTTTATTGCTCCTGCGGTGACGATCTGGGTCGTGCTCCTCCTCTCGGTGCCCCTCCTCCCCCTTCCCCTCTCTCTTCATCTTTTTCCGGAAAGAACTGCCACGGCAACGACATCGAAACGATGATGGCTTCTTGTACTCGCTCCCCTCCCCGCTCACATCCCCCGTCGCAGCGCTGTAATCGCAGGTTCAAGGCGGTAAGAAGTATAAAGAGGTGAAGGGGTGGTGGGGGCGGCGGTGGTTGGGGGGGGGGGT